ATGACTGTTACTTAGAGTTGAGTTAGAGGTCTTCCTTTAATATTTTTCTCAGATGAACTATATAGATAGAAAATGCCGTCCCTAAATCCGTATACATCAGCAAATATCTCTTTCCTCCACCCTGGCGGGTGCCATCTCCTTAACTAGTAAAGGACTTTGAGTCTTCTGTCCCTTTCTCTCCACAGTCTCTAGGAGCCATGTTCATGTTTAGCATTACAGCTGCCAAGTCCCATGCCAAGCTGATCATTTTTTGCCAGAATATTGTAAGAATGTTTCCTTACTGTTAATATGCAATAATTTTACATAATGTGCCAAGTATGTCACCTTTGCTTCCATCTTTCACTGCCCTTCAAATTTGTAGATTTGTGTCTTTCCTCACCAGGGACAATTGTTCATCTGTTATTTGCAAACATTCTTTTGACCTCTCTTACCTTACACAGCTATTATTCATATATTATGTCTTTGAGATTTATCTGTAACTTGTTCTGTTCTCAAGCCATACGTGGACATGCTTAATGCTCATGTTGTGTGTTAGCTGTAGCCCATCTTCCTCAGAAGTCACTGTCATCGTGTGCCTGCTACATTCAAGCATTTCTCTTATTGCTGGGTCCCTTCAAGGCTGTTGATCTACGGCTTCACTGGCTTTTTGAAGGCTTCTGCCTCTCCCTTAGGGACTGGAGGTGCAACCAGTTACTATTAGATTGTCAATTAGCCCACACTAAGGCAAATGGGGGACACCTCTCCCATTCCACACTTCACATTCCTAGCCCAGACTTAGGGAAATCATCCCAGCACCTGCTGCTTGCAAGACAGTGAGCCCGGGGACACTAATATGAGGCTAATAATGAAAGGTCCTGCAGACACCTAGACTCCCCAGAGCATGGCTATTAATAATCAGTGTCTTCTGCTTGCCTTGGGAGAATTGAGTAGATTGGAGCTAAGGGTCATTTCTTTCCAGAATGCCCATCTTTCTTCAGTTTTAACTTATCCACAGTCACCTGGAGAGAATGGCTCTAACTCAGGAATGTTGTAGGTTCTAAATCTAACATTGCCACTGAAAGACTGTGTGATTATCAGCACGTCACTTAGTTTCCTTGGGCTACAGCACTTTACTTAGGAATGAAGAGATTGGTCGACTATAGACCTTTCAGGTATCTTCCAGCTATGGCATTCTCCGTTTGCATGAAATCTCAATGCCCTGAGGCCTCCACTGACAGACCAGTTGCCTTGAGTTGCTCCCCTCGTGGTGAGCCCATGTGTGTCAGAGGAGGACTGTGCTGCATGGGATTGTCAGTGGTTGCTTTCTGGGAAGTAGATTGCCAGCCTTTCTTCAAAGGCATCTCTGTGTAGCACTGAACCTCCAACTTTCCAATAAGTATCTGGACATGTTGACCACTTGCACCGCCTGGCCAGAAACTTTGAGGGTTCAACATTGACCTGTTCCTTTCCTTCTCAGTGTGACAAAGGAGTAAAACTCAGTGGTTTCCAAACTGTGTTCTAAGGACCACTGTGGATTCCTCCACAAAGTTGAAGATAGAGATTAGAGGAGAGATTTAGCTTAAGTTTCCATCTGAACAAAAAATTCAACCCTTAAAACAATTTTGAAGCAGCTTCTTCAAGGTCACAAAGGGAAAGAGCTGTGTCTCTATTCTTGGTTTGCAACCTCCTCCACAAGACCATACTGTCTGTCACAAGATTTTTGCAGGCATCATGAAAAATTGGCTTAAAGTAGGTCAGCATGCCTCAGCCATTGACTATCTTCAAAGTGATTCTTTAAGTTTCAAATATTGGCTAATATTCTTCCACCATAAAGGACAACTTTTTAAGTTAGTGATGTTTAAAACAAGACTTTGAACCAGTTCAGATATGGCCAACAGCTCGTTTTGTTTTTAATGCGGGTGAACTAGAATGATAACTAGAATGAGGAAAAATTATGGGTCTCAGCCTGCCTAGAAAGACTTAATCTCCCTCTGAGGAAACAAAGACAGTGTGTGCATTGTATAGCAGCCAACTCTCTTTGAACTGCTTGTACCCGAAACGATGATGCCCGCCTTAAAGATGCTGCTCAGCCATGCTTCACTGAATGTGCCCTGCTCTCCAGGTCTGGCAAGAACTCAATGCCATGTCTCAGCCTGGGAGGGCTAACGACACCCATTCCGGGGCTTTGACCTCTCATTTTCCCACTCTAGCTAGTGTTTCAAATCACTAGATTTTAAAATCTGGATCTGTTCTTGATTTGTGTAGTTAATTAAACATGACTGAACCTGTTCAAACCTGTTTGAGATGTGACTTAAAAATCAAGGAGTTTCTTCTATTTCTTTATTTTAAAAATGACGAGTAACTTTAGTTCTGGATGTACTGGTCTTCAGACACATCTGCACAGAAGTACAGACACTTGGAAGTGATTACATTTTAAACAACTTAGGAAATGTAGGTGGACAAGGAATGAAGAGACTGAAACAGATTTAATAGAAGTTGCACCTCATGCCCATGGTGGAATTCATTACTGTACGCCATATAATTTAAAATCTTAAGATTCCTTGGCGTAAATAATCAGCACGGACTAAAAATAAACCTCATTTAATGACAGTCTGCAAGTGTATATAGATTTGAGGGTTTCATTTTCGTTCATTCTAATCTTTTTAAAACTCATAAAAATAACATGGTGTGAATAAATTTAAGACATGGAACCAGAAATACAGGTTAGAAAGTCTCTCATTTGGGCTAAATATATATTCTGTTACTTCGGAGCAAAAAATAAAAGTATTTTTGTAAATGCTGGTCTACTAGTGACAGAGCCTCGCAGAATATACGAAGTATTTACTAAGCCCTTTGTCTGCATGAGAGGGATAAATACATACAACAGTGACTGGATGTATGGTGTCATGGATCTGGGCTCTAGAAACCTGGGCTCTGAAGACACCATTGTGCCTTCAAGGCTGTGTGACAGGCAGATACTGGTGCTAAAGCTCAGGTACTAAGGCTGATGAAGAAGATGATTCTGACATCACTCTGCAGAAGTCTCAAAGCGCCTCAGTATGTCTCTCCTCACATTGCAATATCTGGCACCTCCACTGTCAGGCTAGCTCTCTCCATAGTCATCTCACTGCCAGTGGGTCAATTCCAACTCAGAGTGGTTTCTACAGGACAGGAGAAAACTTCCCCTGTGGGTTTCAGAGACTAACTCTCAACGGGAACAGAAAGCTTCATCTTCCTCCCACAGAGCAACTGGTGGTCTCAAACTGCTGACCTTGTGGTTAGCAGCCCAACACATAACCATACACCGCCAGGTTCCATAGTCGTAGCCAAGTTGAAATGTACAGAGAGACATCAAAATCAGCATTTTCACTTCTGTGCTGTTCTTCTGTCTCGTTTCTCCTCCGGTCAACTCTTGTTTTAAAGGTGTTCTAATTGTTTACGTTTACACGAATGCACTCATATGTCATTCAACATAGGGATACTTGGTTCATGATGACACTGCCTACAAGCTCTGATGTGCAGAATAATTTGGTTGCCTGTGTTGGCCTCCACTTTGGTCAGCCTTTATTAGCACAGTCTGTTAAAGTCAAAGGAAACTTCTATGCCACAGCATTAGATGTCATTTCTACGCCATTCACAAGAGCCATGGAATTTAGCTGCACCTGCTTCTTCCTCCTATTAGCTTTAAAAAGGGCAGTTGCTGTCTAGTTGATTCCAACTCATGTGGACCTCACAGTGCCAGAGAAGAATTGTGCTCCCGAGGGTTCTCAGCGATCTTTCTAAAGTAGCTTGTCAAGCTTGTCTTCTGAGGTCCCTCCAGGTAGTCTTGAACCACCAACCTTTCATTAAGCAACTGAGCTGGTTAACCATTTGTACCACCCAATGACTCCACTGTTGGCCTTAGGAAGGAATGTCGACTCCTTCCTCCAAACACAGGAATGAAGATCCCAAGCTTTAGGATATTGATTCATCATCTCTTCTTTCTGAAGTTAAATTGCATACGTCACTGCTCTGCATCTACATTTCCTCCTTTCTTTCCTCTTGCCACTGAGCCCTTTCGATACATTATTATCAATGGTCCTTTCTTAGCCAATCAAGAGAAGAGGTCTTTAAAGCCCAAGAGTATTTCTAGCGTGGCACCTGAAGGCATTGAAATTGTAGCCAAATTGCAAAGAACTTAAAAATCAGTGAAAGAAATGGTTCGATTTTATAATAAGATGAAGTCCATGCAAAATCCAAAGGGGAAAATGGTTGCCGTTCATATACCTGGGATAATGCTACTATGATCACGATCTTCCACTCTTTGCAATCTCCCTGAGATTAAAATCTACTATAAAAGTTGACCTGCTTCTGAGAAGCTTGTAAGAGAGACTTTTCCTTTTTTTAAAAAAATTTTGTTTGGGCTAAGAAGTACAAATCACTGGAGAGAATATTATTTGAATTCAATAAAACAAGTTCTAAACAGAAAGAAGGATTCCGGCAAATCAATGGTTAATAGCCATGATTTACTTCACAATTGTGGATAATTAACAAATGCTTCTTTTTAACTCCTTTAATCTTCATAAAATACTTCTGAAGTAAATACTAATTTTATCTGCATATGACAAAGGAAGAAAGTGAAGATTAGTGAGATTAAGAAACACGGTTTGTAAATTGGAAAAACAGCTGGAATTCAGGTCTCACAAAATGCAACTGTTTAGTATTTTCTATTGCTTCTTCATATGTAAATAAATTCAGAGTTCATGAGAAAGTAAAAGGAGGGTGATTTTTATTGTAGACTTGAAATTATCATTATAATAATTACAGAGCAACCTGAGAGAAAAGATATAATGCAATCTTGTGTGCACTTATATAAACTCTTGAAATAATTTAATAAATCTTCCATGAATACCAATTGTTACAATGCTTTCTTTTTAAAATTTGAATAAATACATTAGCTTTTAATGAGTTTTTTTCTAACCTACTGGAATGGTAAACATGTAGGTTTTCTGATTTTCTCTGTCTCTGAATATTTTTTCCAGGGTCAACGCCTTTTTGAAAAGTTGCTCCAACTGACTTCACAAAATATTGAAATCAAGCTAGTGAGTGATGTAACTGCTGGTTCAAAGGTATTAGAAGCCTTGAAATTAAAGGGTAAGGCCAAGGATGATATATTACTCTACCATTAGATATTCTATTAGGGGACCTTTAAAATATTACAAAATTTCTTTATAATCAAAATATTTCACTCAGTACACTTGTTTTTCCTTAGAAACTAGCCTGAATAAAACTATTAAATGAGAGGATTCATTATCAATATTATCAGTGTTTTTTAAATAGTCTTGATGTGTATTTGTTTATGCAAAATAGTCTACTGCACATAACTGAAAGGAAAATTCTTTCCTTCTCTGAACATTTCAATGATGATAGGTGCAATTAACCACCTCTCATTGGAACAAACATCAAATGGAAATCTTCCTCTTACATCACATTTTGTTAAAAGTATAGTAGACATCTATGAAGCACTGCATGATATTTGACTTCTAAGACAATGCCTTGGGAGGACATTAATTAACTTTGCAGCATATCTCATGACATCATGAAGACTGAGCATAAGTGTGAAATAGCATTCCTTATGTTACTGTAATTTCCATTAGCTACACTCTCTTTTAAATACTTTTTATTTATCTGTAAATATTGTTAACCTGGATTCATTATCTGGGCTGAAACGTACCATAAGGGAGCAAGCTGTTTGAGGTCCACAAGGGAAAACGAGGGGCTGGCTCCGTGGGTTTGACTGTTTCATGTGTGGTATCACTCTCCCCCTGTGTTCTCAGTCTAATGTGCATTTAAAAAGTATTATGCTAACATACAGTTTAGCATAATGATGTATGTAGCCATTTTATTTATAGATAAGATCAACATTGCCCCGTTGAATGATATTTATGTGTGCAGATTCAGGGACATTGGGTACTTTCACCGTATTGTGCAACCATCACCACTATCGGTTTCCAGATTATTCCACCAGCACTGACAGGAACTCAGTGTCCCTGAAGCAGAGGCTTTCCTTTCCCGGCTCCCAACTCTTCTCCAAAGACCCTCCACACTCACTGGCATTGAGTGGACGCCAACTCATAGCAACCCTGCAGGACAGGCTAGAAGTGCCCCTCCACTCCTGGGAACCACGAGTAAGGTGTACTTGCTACCCATTGCATATTTCATCTAAGTAGGATCATACATACAATAGGAGGGTGCTTCCAAAAGTCCATGGACAAATGGAGTTAAAAGGTAATGGATTTTTTTCCTGTGAAATTTTGGAAACCTCCTCAATTATGTGCATATACACACATATATGCACGAGGAAGCTTCAAAAAGTTCATGGAAGAATTCTGTTACCTTTTCATTCTGTTTTTCCGAAGACTTTTTGAAGGCCCTTGTATTAATCCTTTTGTACTTGCTGTGTGTTCTTGCTGGTTATCTTCCCCACATTTTTATGTGAAAGAGCCTTTTGAAAAATAGAACCATTTCCAAAGGAAGGAAGGAAGCTTCTGTGGTCTTTTCTTCTGAAGAATAACCTTTGGAAATGATAAAGCATGTTGAGAGACACAAACATACAGAAGACCTGAGCTGTCCGTCATCCTGTGCCTGGAGCCATGCATATTAGTGTTGTTGTTGTTGTTGTTGTTGTTGTTGCTGTCCTTGTTGTTAGCTGCCATCGAGTTGGTTCCAACTCAGAATGACCACATGCACAACAAAACAAAACACTTCCCAGGCCTGCACCATCATCACTATAGTTTTGAAGCATAAGAAAAATGATGAGAATATTACTTTCTGGAAAGTTTCACTATGTTGTTTGCACCTAGCATGATATTTTTTAATAACTAGAGAAATCCTATTTCAGTGGCTTGACAGATACAATCAGCATAGGTTAGATATGTGTTATGACTTTGACAGTTAAAAAATGAAATTGGGTTCCCACTATCTGAAAAGTGTGTTATTACTCCACACAGTTGAAGGAATGGATTACTTTTGATTAACTGAGGATACTTGTATTTGCAGATGAATTTTCTCATGGAACATACTTGCATCTCCTTTAACTATGGTGTTTTTTTTTAAGGAAGGACAAAAACTAGTGAGTTAGAAAGAGATGGAGGGAGCTGGAAGTTCTATTACTTCTTATTTATATATCCACAAATTCATTCCTTGCCATAACTCAAACTTGATCTTGCAAACTCAACCAAAAATTGATACTAAAAGATACTAAGGGACGATAGCCTATGACCTTGCTGAATATTAGGATGCCCTACACAGAAAATGGAGTCCCTGGATGGTGCAAATGGTTAGCATGCTTGGCTGATAATTGAAAGGTAAGAGATTCAAGTTCACTCAGAGGCACTTAAGAAAATAGGTCTGCTAATCTACTTCCCCCAAAAATCGGTGATTGGAAAGCCAGTAGAACACAGTTCTATAGTGACACATTAGATTCCCAGGAGTCAGAACTGTTGCAAAATTGTGGGTAAAGACCTGAAGTACATTTATATTGTAAGCTACAGATTAAAGCCTCATAGCTTCTTGGTAGGTAATGCTTCTAATAAAAAAGTAAGTGTATTAGTAACAACTCGGGTTCTGTTTTTTCAATTGTAAAATCTAACGAGTCTTATAAAATAAAAATAGAACAAGTAATTATCCTTTATAAAAGCAAAATAAGCAGAACCCTAATTTCTCATAGCTATTTCCTGTGTAATTAGAGCGGGCCTATCTGGCTTTATAACACACATGTGTGTGTTTGGTGCAGCATAAGTTAAATGTCAAAATAGTATTATATGTAATTACTCCTGTTCTTTGGGAGAGGAGCCCTGATGGCGTAGTGGGTTACTCGTTGGTCTGCTAACCTCAAGGCCAGCAATTCAAACCCACCAGCACGGAGAAGCTGTCTGCTCCTGTGGAGATGTAGGGAACGCCACGCCTCAGGAGCCCTAGGAAGCAGTTGGACTCTGGCCTATAGGTTGCTATGAGTCAAAATCCACTCACTGGCAATGGATGTCCTGTGGTCATAGAGATGTATGAAATTAAAAATTCGTTTTAGAGAAGAATGTTTTTAATGAAACATACTTAAAATCTTTGTCTTGCTTAGGAATTGTCTTTTACATTTTTTAGTACCTGATCCTAGTTTTTTAGAATGACAGATAACCAGGAGGTGGTGGTGGTTGTTGCCGTCATTGTTGTTGTTGATGTTAGATGCCATCCATCGTCGAGATGATCCCCACGATGGCAACCCTACACACAACAGAAGGAAACCCACCCGGGGGCTGAGTCATCCTCACAGTGGTTCCCAAACCTGAGCCCCTTGTTTCAGCCACTGTGTCACTGCATGCCTCCCTGAGGGCCTTCCTCTTTTCACTGCCAGGAGACCAGTCCGGAGCAACTTCAGCTGCTAGGTCCTTGCTGACCAGAGAAGCTAATTAAATACATTAGGAGAAAGAATGAGAGTTCAACTTCCACATCCAAGGTTGAGGATTCGGTACAGGTGTGCAGCCAGCAAGGGCGAAGCAGGCAGGAGGCGTGGCTTGGCTCCCCTGGGCCATCGAGCCCCATGAGACTGGAAGGAGACCCCAGATCCTTACTCCTCTTGCTCCCCACTCGCTGCCACACTTCTCCTTGGCTCAGATGTCGGAGAGCAAGCCACTGGAGTCTAGAGCCTCAAACTGTGGGTGTGTTTGCAGCCCACCCCCATGGAGTCCTGGCGCCCAGGGCGCCTTTAATTCTAGAGAAGAATCCCCATAAATTCAAGAAGAGCTTTTCTAACCCGTTTTCCTGATTTCATTTACTAACCATCTCCACCTGTATCCCCTTAGCGATCTCCGTTGCGACATGGTAGCTTTGGCCACGCTTTTCCTCTCCAGCAGCTACAACAACGGTCCTGTACCCTGAATTTCCAGCTTACTCAAATCGCAAACTAACTTCCACACGCTTTCTTATTCTCACTTGTCTAAAGAAGCCAAATTCTACAGAATCTGTGCTCTGGAGATGTCTCCTACAGTTCACATTGTCTTCTCAGCTGTCACTGCCCTACTCTAATATTTTACACGGACTGGGCAGTGCAAATGGTCGATGGGTTTGCTAACTGAAAGGGTAGGGATCTGAGTCCGCCTAGAAGGGCCTTGGAAGAGAGGTCTGGTGAGCTCTTCTGAGCGGTTGTGGGCATTTAGAACCCAGGGAAGCCCAGTTCTACTCTGAGACACGTGGGGAGGTCATGAGATGAAGCTAATTTGACAGCAATGAACTGGGGCTTTGGGGGAGGAGTTGTTTTGTTTTGTTGGCTTGTTTTATATTTGTGTGCGTTCTTTGCACAAATGTTCCCTTACCAAGTTGTGTGTATGTTATGTAACTCTTAAATTGACAAATAAGACACATTTAATGTGGGAATCAACCGTTTTTTGTTTTGTTTTGTTTTTTCACAACCTAAACCCTATGTGTTCACTTTACAATTTACGACATCAAACATGGCAAGCCTCCCAGAAAGCTTCTTCATCCATCTTCAAAGGGCATGCCCTTTGATAATGCCCTCTGCAAAGGGCATCCCTCGCCCAACTTCTACCACAATAGATTCCATGGCGCGCTTTCCGAGTGGGGAGAATGAGCAAAGAACCAAACAGACACACACACACATACACACACACACACACACACACACAGACAATACAGGGCTGCAGCACAAAATAGACACAGACAGAGACGGTACAAACTGCAGCCCTGACGAACCACAGCGCTTTATTCTTATCTACTAAATACTGTCACTGTTCCCAGATAAGTTCGGTATTCCCATTGAATTTCTCATAGCCCTGAGAGAGTTTCCTATCTCAGCCCGTACTGCTCTTGTCTACTGCTCCCAGGGAACACTGTATGCAGCTGTTCCCCAAATTCCTTGCTGTTTGCAGTAAGGAAGCAGTTTATGAGAACCAGCTAGAACAGACGTCTGCGCACTGTCCTGACAGATACACAACACGAGACATGGGCCTCCTTACGTGGCTCCTTCAATTACATGTATCTTTTACTGAACGTTAAAGAAATAGAGTCTTAGAATGAGTATATACTTTTTCACATCGGGATTCTTTACCTCAGGCTCTTTAATAATATCCATTATTGTAAGCTCT